ACTGGGTGACCTTGGGTAAGTCACACTCTCTCAGCCTCAGAGGACGGCAAGGGCAAACCCCATCTGAAGAAATCTTGCCAAGAAAACTCCATGATACGTTTGCCTTAGGGTTGTCCTAAACTGGAAATGACTTGAAGGCAACACAACTCATACAAGACAGAAGAGCCAGCATGGGGCAGTGCTTTGAGTACTGGAAGTCCAGAGTTTGAATCCCTGCTCAGCCATGGAAATCCAGTGGGTGACGCTGGGCAAGTTGCACTCTCAGCCTCAGAGGAAGGCAAAGGCAATCTCCCTCAGAACAAATCTGGCCAACAAAATCATGGAAACTGTAGTTTATTGTGGCATCAGAGCTCTCTGACAGAGAAGACTCAATGTCCCAGAAAAAAATACAATTCCCATGATTCCCTAGCACTGAGCTAGGACGGTTAAAGTGGCCTCAAGCTGCATTATTTCTGGAAGTCTGTAAAGGCCCTATGTCTTCCATTCAAAGGGAATAACCCAGGAGGAGTGATCTAGGAGGAATAGTTTCCATTTGCTTCCAGATGCACTTGTACCTTTTTGCTGGGGCTATCATAAATCCTGTTTTTTGTTGAATAACAGTTCTCAACTTTTGATCTTCCAAATGTGTAGGACCAACTCCCAGAAACCCTGATCACTGATCATGCTAGCTGTGATTTGCGGGAGTTGAAGGCCAATACATCTGGAGAACTAGTGTTGAGAACCAATATTCAAAAGCACTAAGCTTACCCATCCAGTTTGGTGTCTTGAGCAAATCTGATATGCCTCCTTTCTGTTTCTTTGTCTGTTATATAACCATTGAGCTGTGGCATTAATAACCATAGCTTGGTAGCTCCAATTCTGTAAACCTTTTCTTCAGAGTCAGCAACATTAAACAAAGTGGAGATTTACTTCTGAGACTACTTGGATGGGAGGCCACCAATGAATACCAGGTGCTATAGGCTGACCTTATCACACGGGGGTCCCAAGCAGAAGGTATCCAAAGCTAATACGTATTTTTTTTCCGTGTGTTTACACATATCCAAAGGCAATCCAAAGCTAATACGTATTTTTTTCTCGTGTGTTTACACATATCCAAAGGCAATCCAAAGCTAATACCTATTTTTTTTCCGTGTGTTTACACATATCCAAAGGTAATCC